AATGCCAACCTCAAAACTAGGCACTACCATTAAGTTCATTACAATTGATTTTGCGCGCGCGCACACACACTCTCTCTCAAAGCATGAACGAATTAAATACTTTTACATTCAATTCTTCATAACTAATGATGGGTTGGTGTGAAACTCTTGGACCCGAAGCCACAAAGAAGGCTACGTCTGGGAGCAGCAAGGGGGGGCTCCAATTCCCTGTGGGTCACATCGCCCGTTTTCTCAAGGATGGGAAGTATGCTGAACGTGTCGTTGTCGGTGCTTAGTACCTAATCGCTGTCCTCGAGTAACTTGCTGCTGAGGTATATGAAAGATTTCGGCAACTTAAATTCATAATACTCCCCAATTCAAGGAGAAATTTTTGGTTTACGATTTTGAAATTTTTACCCCATTTTTGATTTTTCTCATATAAAATTTAAATGTGTTGTTATCAACGTAAACTTCTGTATCTGATTTTAAGCTCATTTTTTTTAGGTCTTGTATCATCCTTGAATACTTGTGAGTCTCAATTTTAACTGTTGTAAGTTCTCGTTCATAATAATTGGAAATGTGGCAAAGGACAACAAAAGAACTAAAACTGTTCCAAGGCACATTCAATTGTTCCAACGCGGGTGTTGAAGAAATCGGAGCCATTTTTCTGAGCTTCTACAAGCAAAATGAGTTTTTTGCTTGTGAGCAAGGGAGCTGCTGGTTTTAACTTAGTGGTACTGTCTGGGACTGGTTTTGAGGCGGTGTTGAGGCCAACGTTGATGTGGTTGTGCTGAAAAATGCAATGCGCGGCCGATAGTTGGATGAGGGTGGATTTGGTCTTGGGGTGAGGGGATTGGGGAAGAAGGAGATAGGGGTTGGTGGTTGTGGTTTTTCCCCTCCTAATTTTTCATTTAATAATGGAAATGTGTTCCGCCCAAAATATTCTTGCCCTATTTGGTCCAAATTATAAAATTTTACATTTTTGGGATCAAGTGATGGTTTTGTGGGTCAGATGGAAACCATCATTTTGGACTTCACATACGAATTTTTTAAAACTTTGGTACCTTAAGTGACACGAATGAAAAGTTTGAATTTCAAAATGAAAGGTTTTATAACTTGAGTGCAATTCTCACTAAACTAATTGGCTAAGCAAGTAACGTTGGAGTAACCTAATTGGTTAAGCAGTTGACTACTCAGTATTTATCGTGTACATGAAAAGTGGATCTCTTTCAATCTATTAGCACTGGAAAAGTTACACTGTGCATCTTCAATGGTATGTAAAATAAATCTAAATTGTGATTTAAATCTTTAATATGGTTGAAAATCCTCTTCAATGGAAATGCGAAGAAATAAAAATTACATTTTGCAATAAATTATAAAAAAAAATGTATATTCAAGATTTAAAAAAATGAATTTAAATCTTTTCTTTTAAGCAAAATTTGAATTATGATTTATCGGGATGTAAAAAAGGATACAAAAGTTATTTTTAGATATACTAATTTATACTCAATTTTACGCTACCATTAAAGATGCTCTAAATTCATATATGGATCCATCTATATCACAATACTCAACCTAACTTCTATAATGTGTTGAGCCGTCAATATCACAATACTCTAAACCTAACTTCTATAACGCTTTAAATGAGCAAACAACTCATCGTTTTTATTGTTCTTACAAAAATGCCCATAATTAACAAATATGATAAATTAAAAACTCCACATAAAATCTCATACAGTGAATTGTGGATTAACATGTTGATGTCATTTTCAATTTACACAATATTAATGTCAATATTTGCTAACAAATTTAAAAATTACTTTGTCAATGCCAAAAACGCTTATAGAAGAGGCAGAGAATTCCCTAGACAAAATGCTCAATTCAATAATGGCTTATGATTATAGAATTAAGTCATTTGTACTTGTTTGTTAACACTTTGGATTATTCGACCCAACCACTCCTCTAACATGAGGTCGGGTCCCATGTGGGGGTCATGATGTGGGGTCCGACCCCCATGTGAGAGGAGGAAGTGGACCCGAGTAAATCAAAGTGTGAACAAACAAGTACAAGTAGCATGACTCATGATTATAAAATAATTGGATTAGCAAATCAAGGAGGTATATTTGGTATACATTTCGAGTGTACTTACATCTTGTAAAATATTTTAATTATTCTCTATTAAAAATAACTTCTATTCAAATTTTTATTGGAACGAAATAATATATAATTCCAATTAAAATCAGTCGAGAAACGTTAATTATTGAAAAAATAAAAGAAGAAGAAAAAGGTGAACTTAACGAAAATAAGTTGCTTTCGAGCAGATAAGCTACGGAATCTTTAGATTACTTTATTTGGTTCCTGTCTGGAACGGAATTCTAGTTATTTTAACTGATGACATCTGAAGATAATGGGAAAAATGAAATTGTTCTCAACGAATGGGCTGACCGCTGACGTCCTTTAACTGTCAAAGCGGAGAAATAAATAAGTCAATGTTTGGTAGCAATTAAAATTAAAATTTTAATTTTAATTAAAGTTAATAATTTATTTCAATTACATATTTTATGGATTTCACAATTTTTCAATTACATATTTTATCAACTTCTATCAAAATATACTAAAAATCTGTTTTTAATCTCTGTCAAACAGGGGTTGAAAGTGAACGACTATGGATTGGTTAATTTCTCGGATGGACTTCACAAGAAATTTAAATTTGGTTTTTAAAATATTTTTTCTGACTAAAATAATCATTAGTACTATAATTAACGTATACCATTATTCCTTAAACTATTTTTCGCTCATTTAGTCACTAAAATTAATTAATATTATATAATCGATCCTCTTATTAGTGAAAATAAGTCGATTGGGTGGCCGTGCATACTTTGACAATCAAGTCAGCCTTTATAAGAGTAGATTTTTGGGTGTAAGACGTGCTTAAAACGTGAACCACTTACATAAAAAGAAAGATGTTAGGATCCGAGAGATATGTAAAGAGTAATAAGAGAGCAAAGTAATAGTTTAAAAATCTAAATTTGTATTACCTTTTAATAACACAATGTGTGAGATTTTATAATAGAAGTGGATGAGTAAGAATCATTGGATGAAAAAATATGTGGCCTCACCCTAGCAACTGAGGCACCTTGTCATAGGGATCAATCAAAAAGTCATAGGCTTGGACACGTTTAATGTTATGACCTTGTGTAGCCCTAGATATGACATATAAGTTTTAGACTTGACATATTGACTTAATAGAGTGGTTGTTGTCACCTCAATCATAAATGGAAGATCTTATATGGAAAATTATTTGTAGTGCCTCTAACTGCCTTGTCTCGCTCATGAGGGCTCGTTCCTCATGTAGGTTTGGTCCTAGCGATTCGACTTTCTATATTGGTTCGGCCTCTTCATGAGGCTTGGCCAAGAATGCCACATGGAAATGGTAACAAGGAGTGTGGGCCTAGCTTGTTGTGTAATTGTCACATGTCAATGCTTGGAGTCTCACTAGAATAGACGGAGCACAAAATTTCCTAAATTAAGGTTTATATATTGGCTTTCCAAGTAGAGTCTAAACTTAATGAATTTTTAACTTAAAAAGAAAGAAAGAAAGAAAAGAATAAAAGAATAAAACAAGTTCTTTGTTGCAAAGCTTGATATAATATTTAGAGCATGATAGGAAACGTTTATAAATGATTTTAATCATATATAGATATGATGAATAAATTGTTAGTTTCATGGATTTTTCGAAGTGTGAATTGAAAGTACTTTTGAGTATTTATAAGTTGTTTATAAATATAAGTCAAACATATACTAATAGTTTGACCATGATTCGCATTTGATCAATTACATGAGACAAAGCCGTTTAATCAAAAACCAAGTGGAAAAGATAAGCACTGAACGATAAATCTTAAACCTGTTTGGTGTAAATTAAAATTATATTTTTATTATTTTTCTTAAAAGTTGATTAAATATGCGGTTTAAAAGTTGTGATTCACATTAAATATGTTATTAAAATTAATTATTGACTTTAATTTGATATTAATCCAAATTCAGTGGAGGCTCAGCCCAAGATGTGAAACACGCATTTGAATAAAATTTAATTTTAAAAAGACAGTTGGCTGTTCATTCAAAGCCTTGTTCTGTTATTAGGGAAATCAAATTGGCATAATCATTTGCAAATGGCATTGTAATTTTTATTCTAACGAGGAAATGTCGGGCGTTAGAAAATGTTGGTTAATATGTCGTTAATACATACAATTTGTTGAAAATAGGATTAATTAATTTGTATTCACAAGAATATAATAATTTTACGAGAATAAAAATACATAAATATTTTAGGAACTACATTGTTCTTATTTGTTGTTGTGGTTTGTTTACACACAACAACCTAAATACTTTTGGAATAGGCGTTTATGTACTATTCTCTTCTTTTTTATTCTGCGTTAAATTTCTGTTAGCGTGACAAAAAAGAATACCATGGATGCGACTCCAAGTCAAACTACCAATAGTACAAATAATATGGTTCCGCCTTTGGCTATACCACTTTAAAATACTGCGATCCCGCGTGGGGAAAATCAAAAAAGCTTGGAGGCGTGGATTTCAAGAGATGGCAAACGTTGTTCAATTTTACCACTCTAAACCTGGCGATGTTTCTAAACGAAACTACACCAACAATATAAGAACTTCAAGTTCTCCTTCATGACATACACAATGAAAGAAATGACATGTTGATAATAGGCAATAGTCACAAAATGATTATAAACACCAAGAAAATGCTAGCGAAACATTTTGATATGAAAGACATGGGTGTAGTTGATGTGATATTAGAGATTAAGTTCTCTAGGACATCGAAAGAAATTATACTTTTCCAATTTCACAACATTGAAAGTATACTTGAGATGTATAATGTCCTTGAGGAAAGTCTCGCAAAAACCTATTCCACAAGCTTACACTTAGTCAAAAATACGAGGAAGTGTGTGTCATAACTAAAGTATTCACAGGTGATAAGGCAGTCTAATGTATATTACGAATTGCACTCAATTGGACATAGCTTTTGTTGTGAATAAACTTAGTAAATTCACAAGTAATCCACGCTATAATCATTAGAAGGCTTTAACAATAGTTCTTAGCTACTTGAAGTATGCCTTAACTATGGATTACACTTCTCAAAATATCATGCGGTATTGTGACGCAAATTGGATATTTGACGTGAAGGATTCCAAATCTACTAGTTGTTATGTATTTACCATTAATGGAGTTGTCATATCATCGAAATCGACAAAGCAAACGTGTATAGCTCGATCAATAATGTAATCTAAGTTCATTACTTTAAAGAAAGTTGGAGAAGAAGCAGAATGATTTCGTAATTTATTGAAAGATATTCCACGTTGACCCAAGCCGGTACTTGAAATAAATATACATTGTGATAGTCAATCGGTTATTGGAAGGGTTCGAAGCAGCATGTATAATGGCAAGTCTAGATATACATGTAGCAGACATAATACCATTAAGCAACTTATCTCTAATGGCATCATCTCCATAAATTATGTGAAATCAAAGGAAAACGTCACGGGTCTACTTACGAAAGGTTTGCCTAGAGGTCAAGTACGTTGTCTATCGAGAAGAATAGGATTAAAGCCTATCATGTAAGAGTCTTTGTAATGGTAACCCTACCTTGTTAACTGAAAATCCTAAGATCTTGGTTCAAATGGACAATTAAGTTATGAAGATTCAATGAAGTACTTGGAAAATTATTTTCCAACTCATTCTTATGATATTAAAGTGCTTTCTGCAGAGTGATAAGAGGTTAAGATATTTTTTAAGGATTCTTATATCTTGATTAAAGTCAAGTGGAGTGGGCAAAATACTTTTAATAGGAGGTCACTTATATAAGTGTGAATTGTGGGCCGCTTCAATGAGAATTATTAGAGGCTAAAATTCTTTAAACACTTATGAAACCCAAAAGTGGTTCATAGCCAAAATGAATTGAGTCATGAGAACTATGAAAAGATTAGGGAAGACATCTATGTGACTATTGTTATTTTGGTTTACACTAAAGGCTGAATGTCTCAAGACATCACTTTCACCAATTAGCCAAGTAAGTCCAATAGTATTTTACTAAGAAATGTTCAAAGACAAAAGCTATCTTATCTGATGTAGTGTTTTTTTGCTCTCTCTACAATGTATCATAAATTTTCGCATCGCATATACATACTCGAATTTTCATTCATGTGGAAAATTGTTAGAAATTCGTTTAAAATTGAGAATTTGGTTAAGTATAAAAGTTGAAAAAGTGACTTTTGTGTCCAAACATTCGGACGTGATCTGATAGACAAATTATAAATGTAAAATTGACTAACTTGTTCTACTCGTCGAGTAGATCATTGTGGTATATTTAGAATCTCAATACCAATTTCAAATAAATGAGAAATTGTGATCCAAAATTGGAAGAATAAAATTCAGGAAAACTGCCTAAAAAATTCACGTAACTCCATCACTTGCCTATCGCTCAAGTGACGGGATTGTCGCTAAAACGCCAGGCTAGTGATAGACGTGCAAACTGTAAATTTTTTGACAATGGAGTTCGAGCGAGAGGTTACCTATAAGCTAGTGATAACAAGTGATGCTTCTGTTCATAAAGTTGCGAGGTTTGACACTCATCACTTTACCCACAACCCCTCATCCTCTATAATTATGACCCCTTTTCATGTCCATAATGCATCCCATATCACTTCTTGCATTGAGCATTGCATTGAATCTCTTGCAAAATCATCTCCAAAATCATCCAAACTATCTTCCTTGTAAAGAGGGAAGTTTTGTCAAAAGGTTAGCTGGAACTTGTGATTTGAAATGCTTCTATCATAAGTCGTATTCGTTGTATCTTAGAAGACAAGTGTCATAATCTGTGAGCACCATTGTGGGACAAAATTATCTTGGTTGAAAGAGTGACATTTTACTTGCCTTTAATTTTCTTCTTCTTTTTCTTTTCCTTTACCTTTTTTTTTTTTTTTTTTTGTGATTCATATACCATAAATACTTTCATAGATTATTGTATTTAATCATGTTCTTATGGATTAAGAACTATGCCGTATGTACAAATTTATTTCTATAGAATTTGTACCAAAATGATAGCTATCTTCCTATAATTGGCTGTTGTCAAAAATAGTTTTTGACAACAGCAAATCACAAGAAGACAACTGTCTTCCTATATCGATTCTGTTAAAAAAATCTGTACTTGCAATTTAATTGATGAATTAAACTCTGTCTTTTTTTTTTTTTTTTTTTTTTTCATTTCAAAACAATTCTTTCACTATCAAATTACCCAACATTTACAACCATTAAAACTACATTAATTTTGTTGTAACAACAACAACAATAATAAACCTTAGTTGAATTGAACATAAATACAAGGTTAAATATATTCACACCACGATTTTTAATAATTATGTTACATTTTAATTGCATGAAAGTTTATAATATTTATACATTATTACATTTAAGTCTCAATTTTCTTTTTTCGTTGCATTCTTACTCTCAAATTAACATAATTTGTTCCTAATTATGGTTTCTCTTCAAAATTTTCCTTAAGATAAAAAAAAAATCATTTGACCATTGTATTTTTGAATAAGTAAGAATAAGCAAAAATACAATTACATATTTAACAATTATTTTAAAGCATGTTTAACTATATTTTTAAATGAAAATATGATTAAGGGGCAATATTTTTTGATTAAAAAATGTTAAAATAAAATGTGATGAAGAAAAAAGTTAAGGATGTAAGTGTGATAATAAATAAAAATTAATGATCTTCGATGTAATTAAAATGTGATGTATTTTATAAAAAAAATGTGGTGTGAATTTAATCACCCTAAATATAAATGTTTATTTATGATCTGTGAAATGACTTGGATTTGGAGATATTTCATGATCTAAAATGACTTGAATATTTCCGTGTTTTATAACTTAAGCACCGGATTTATAATATTAAAAGATCCATGCACAAATGTGACATAACAGAAGTTTATAGGAAAGAACAAAAGCTCGTGAAACTCGAATTTGTTGAGTTGAAAGATCAAATACCAAGAAAGAGATAACAATTTGAAAAACTTCTCAAAAGTCTAAACTCTTTATTTAATTCAAAACTGAAAAACAAATGTAAGAATTACTACTCCAATAAATAAAATCTGGATAACGACTAACTCAAGATAACAATAAGAATAAAAGATGAAATCAAACTCATAATGAAATTAAAATCTTATTCTATCTAAAATTATAAAAAGAAGAAAATTATCCAGAATAACAAAAAAGGCTTTTCAAAATCCTAAAAGATGGAATTGGGTCGAAGTAGAGTGTATTTCATGGGCAAAGACGATGAGTTTTGCTTGTTGGGCCATTTTCACACAAAATTGACACAAACATCTCCAAAAATGGACATTTGAAATTTCTTTATATTGACACTGATTTCACTTTCTCATGAACTATTCTTGTTTTTGTGTTGTATCAAAATGTAAACCAAATTAATAAAAACGCTTCATCAAAAAATAAATTGATAATTTAATACTTTATTTTAATATTGCATACACAAATAAATTTATTCAAGGACAAAGAACATCCAACACAATTGCCCTTGTCACTCTTGCCCGCTTGTTGATCCATGAATTCTTAAGAAGATGCCAGAACGTTGGGCAACCATAATTTTTTCAAATAAGAAATGCATTCATAAATCAATTGTTGAAAATTGGTTGAGGACCAATTTGCATATGAATGAGAAATTCGGTCCTATTTGAAGGAAATTAAAATTTGGGGTGTGCCCCTTCACCTACCGCCCTTCAACTCCTATATATAGGATTATTTGGATGATTATTTTGATCCCATATAAATTATTTTTTCATGTCATGTTGCATAAAATACTTTATAGAAGTAATTCCATTTTGCATCAAAATCATGGTCATGGTAGAGAGGGAATTCCGTTCGAATTCGTTGGTCGAAGCCATTTGAAGTGCTCTTATGACTTGATGTGATCGTTGTATCTTGGGAGATGATTGTCGAAAAATCGTTAGCATCGATACGGGACAAATTCATCTTAAGGACAAAGCGTCCAACACTTGTCTCGGCCAAAAATTCATCACTTGTATTCTCTTGTTTCATTTTCTGATTTTTTTTATTATACTTTGATTTCAGAAACTGATTAACATTGCTTACATGTTTATATTGCAAGGTTCGATCCAAAGAATGATTTGCTTTCGTTCAAGAATCGAAAAGGATGAATCCATATTAATAGTTCAGATTGGTAAATTATTGTTTTGCTTCTCAAATCCATTTTGGTAAGTCGAAATTACGTTTCGATTTTACACAAATAAACGACATGATTTTTGTGAATATAATATGCACAACTATTGATAAAAATTTTCAACAGTCTTAAGATGAATTTCGGTGCTTGTTGTACATTTTATATTCTATGTAGAATTTGCCGAACGTATTGCCCAATTGAGGAAACATGTTTATTTATATGTTCAAATTGGGTTATGTCCGAAATTGATTATTTCGCA